AACCTGAGCCAGTGGCCCCCGGCGGAAGGAAAATACAAGCGGTGGGACAAGGTAGCCCAAGAGATGAATTCTGAAAAGGCACACTTTATGTTATGTATGTTAAACCACCTGCTACTTAGAGCTGTGTTCTAGAGGCCCTCATAGTACAGAAAGCCCTGGGTTTGACTCAAGAGCTGAAAGGCACAGAATTTACGGCTTGTTTGACCCATCTCGGGTTTATTAGAGAGGCAAATGACTCTCCAACTTGAGCATGACAAACTCATACATCCCCACAGCTGCAAAGTGCAACTTCCTGCAAACCCCTTCATTCCAATCACAAACTGGCTTGTCCGACCTGCCTCCTTAGGAAATATTGCCACAGTAGCAAGAACTGCAATTCCTCATATTTCATTACAATAGACTGCAGTACGTTTGCTGGTATAATATATTATGAAGGATCATGAATAATTAAGAATTAATCACACTTGTCAAAATAAATAAAGGCAGTCAGTGATGCAAAATGCTTGAATTTTTTATAGCATCTTTTTACTTATTTATGGATTAAAAGAAGTCTAGTAATCCACAATGGATTGCCTATTCATTACAGCACATACAATCCCGATTCAGATCCCAAAAGTAGAGGTTTTACTGTCAATCCTTAGCAAATCGATGGAACTTTAACCTTAAATCTTTGACCCTGCAGAAAGTTACAGAAGTTAGACTTGGAAATGTTTGTAACTCCAGCAGATCTTCAGAGGCATAGTTGGAAGATACACTAGTGATTCTAACACCCACTGCTCCACTTACAAGACTGTGTGGAATGGCGAAGAGCAAAACGTTTTAGCACAAATTTTCAAAACAAAACCCCAACCCCAAAGTACCTTGATAATTATTATTTTCTAGATCTCTACAGACAGACAGTCATGAAGTTTTTTCTAACAAATACTCAATATTTTTGCACGGTTTGAAGGCATTCCCAAGGTTTTAACAGAATAGCAAATAACATTAAGTGTTTAAAAAGCAACTTTTCTCTGACTCTCCTAACTGGTCCAAAACTCTTAGTGCATTTTTCTCTTTTTTGAAAGGGAAGAAAAACCTGGGCTGGGAGGTGAGGTAGGGACACACCACCACACCAACCCTACCAGCACGGACCAAAGATCCATTAACTTTAGATATCTGGCTCTTAAAACAGACAGGTGGAGATACAGAGGAAAGAATATATGAACAGGAAGAGCAAACAGTTGAACCTCATCACCCCTGGCCTTCACGGCCTTTCACGTACGTACTTTCTGAGCCAGGAAAGGTTCTCTTGAGAATCCAGTAGCTGTAACTGTTTTTCGTCTCTGCTCATATTCTGTCAATTTGCACACTCACAGAATGTTTCAGCACCAACAATATCCCAGGAAAAAAGTTCCACGGTTTCCCTATTTGTTACATACTAAAGGATCTCCTTTTGTTTTACCTGACATCTACTAATTTCACCTGATGCTGTCCAATTCTGTATTAGAAGAAATACCGAATATTTTTTTCTGTACTCATCCTCTCAGTGCTTTACAAAGTCTTCGGAGTTTATAAACCTTTATACATATTCTATAAAGATTTTATAAAATGCTTTGATTTCTATACAACCTTGCCATGTATTCCTTTAGATGTCTCTTGCAGGCAGTGTAGCCCTGGTTAATTTAAGACTTCATAAAAGACAGCCCATTACATACTTTAGATCAACCTTGTTTTCTTTCTTTTAAAAACTTACCCAGCTGTACTAAAAGATTTTTGATGCATGGGATCTAGAACAGAATACCATGTTTTAGATACAGCTGCCCCCTCACTATAGCATACTGTTCCTATTTCCTACTCTCTTCCCAGTAAGCCCCAAAATCACCTTTACTTAGTGACTGCTTCTGAGTTGATGTTTTCACAGTTCTGTTCTTACCCCCCAATCAGCTTAAGTGACCATAACCAGTTTACAATCTGTCTGCATATATGCCAAACTCCGATTGTCTTTCACACCACCTCAATTCAAATAATCTACACTAAATTTCACCTGTCACTATTACCTGGTTAAGCATCCTTTTTCAATTCCGTGAAAACTAGACCTTCAATCTTTTACCCTGAATAATTGAATATCAAACTCTTCCACCTCACCATTTATTCCTATTCAGAAGATCAATGATTTGTGTGACAGTACATGCTGAACATGCCAAGTGAATGCAGTGCTCAGATGTGACTGTAACCAAATGCTGAGACACCTGAAACTAGTTCTTACTGTAGGCAGCTTAATCCGTGATTTGTTCCAATTTCTTGACACTGAGCGGTATCATGCTGCTGGGACAGGGGCAAAAATACAGAAGTTCTTCTAATGCCTGCCTTAGGGAGATCTACCAGTGATTTTCTACTGAACCTTTTAGGGGAACTTACACGCAGCACAATGAATCATACCAGAGGCATTTGTCTCCATCAATGTCTTGACATGACCTGATAACCAAGTGACAAGTATGAGCTAAACCATCCCAAAATCTAGTTAAGCTATCTGTTTATCTCTGTGCATTACTGTCTGCAAAGGAGATGAAATGAGATTGAGATAATTGCAAGTACAATTTGCAGGAAACAGTGGGGGTTGGAACTACTGTGCTTAATTATTTCAGATTGAAACAGACCACACAACTATCTATGCCAAACAGCCATAATTAAAGTGATTTAAAATATCTAGATGCTAGCTCCAAGTGTTGCTTTTCAAATGAGTCTTTACACAAGCAAGAGTTACAGTTGTCTCTGAGTTGCAGACCTACAGCTCTACTGAGGGGTTTAAGATTAAATTACCACCATGTCCAGCATGCCTGATAAATTAAAAAACCAAACACACACACATACAAGCAAATACATCACCTCAAATAATCCACTCTGATGGCCCACCAATCTAAATCCACTCAATCAATATGACACTGGTTACCTGCCCCTCAGAACAGCAGAAAACAGCAGAGCACAAGCCTCAGCCTAAATTGCCTATACTCCAGATGGAAAAAACATACTTTGGTCTTAGAAATGGAATTTTACCCCAATAGGCAATTGGAAATCATCAACCACTAACACCTTTGGTTTTGGGCTACAGGGCCAGTCAACAGTCTCCCTTTCTTGTGCTTTGGCAGATATAGAAAACTGAGTACAGACAAAGGTATAACTCTACTGAAAAGAATTCAAAAGAATCATACAAAATGGAGCACCACATTGACCTGGCCAGACTCTTTACCTGGAACAATACATTTACTTCCTTGTGGCTTTTCCCATTTTTTCCGCACTTCAGGAAAGTGACAGCCACTCTTCTCAACTCAAAACAAGGTTTTGATTCCTAAATTTCAGTGGCAGCCAGCTTGCACTAGAATTTTAGAAAAAGAACAAGAGCAGAACTTCTGATTTACCTCAAACTTTCCCTGAACTGTATCTTTATAGCAAGAAATTCAGTATGCGTATGTATGTTCGCTGATGTGGAAATTAGAAGATATTTGCCTGCAGCACAAATGTGGTCCATCTGCTTTACACACGACACAGATCACGCCAAAATGACCTGGTCTGCTGATGAATCAATGGGCCTTAAAAGTTAATTTATAATGGCTATCTGGGGAAAAGTGCTATACTATTGATATGGATGAGAAAACAGAATATCAACGAAAAGCAGCACTGAAAATTTCCTCAGTATTCACCTGAACATAACAACTGCTACGAGCAGTCAGACTGCAGCTCTGCAAAGTCAAATGCCATCTCTGATGCTGGCTACTAAGAAAAGGATCCTTTCACTTGCAGCTTTCTATATAAGAGGTCTTAAATTTGAATTAAACAAGCAGTGACGAATGTATTCTGCAAGAATTAATCTGATCTTTCTTTAAATTTATGCATACTTCTGGCCCCCATAACATTAATTCATGTATCTTATTTGCACAGTTTATTCAGGTGCTACATGAAAAATATCTCCACTCACTTGTTCTATACCTGGAACTCACTAACTTCACAGCTGCTTTCCACTGCTCTTCAATGTGCACTTTAAAGACTACTAAGTCCTACCACTGTAGACAAAATAAAGAATTTTTGTCTGTTTAGTTTTTCCTAGTATGGAAACTTATCCCTCATAATTTTTGTCGTCCTTCCTGACATCTCTTTGTTTTTCTGGATAAAGCCTGTAGTCCTAACTTCCCCATTTCCATTTTTGTAGTTCTGTTCTTATCAACACCACCTGACTCTTACAGGGAGAGGTTTCAAGCAGATGTCACTAACAGCCAAAAGGATGTTAAGGATTTTGCTGCTTTCCTAAGGTTAGAAGAGCACAAATATATCTAAAAATCTTTCAGAACTTATAATCTTAATGAAATATGCTGCTGTTCACAGATATGATCACTAGCAGGAAAAGTAATTCCAACAAATCAAATTTTCTTCCAAGAAAGGAGAAAAATCTATTGCACTCTCTTCTTTTCAGGCTTCCTTGCTCTCTTTAAAGACAGGATCTTTTTTCCTTATATTAAGGACAAACCCCATCTTTTGCTTTCTTACCAAACAGAGAACCTAAGCCCTGGACACAAGATATTGCCTAAAATGGTCTGCAAATACGCAAGCAGTACACAGGACGTTGAGCAAAGGTAAGGCTAAACTCTTCCAAACACTGAATGACCTTAAACACAGGTACCATAAGATAGTTCTCATCCAAATGCCATCCATGGCATGGGTCAGCCCAATTAGGATTTTACACAATATTATATTTGATGCTTTGATTCCCATATAGATGATGAAGGTTGCCTTTAGATGAAAACAGATCTCTCGTGCAGAATGACCCTCTTTTGTTTGTCACATCATTTGCATTCATCATCTGCTGCAGTAAAAGGATTATAGCTGTCTTTAGCATTTCAGGAGGACGTGTTTGTTTGGGTGGGGTTTTGGTTTTTTTTGTGAGGGTTATTTTTGGGGGTGGGAGCATGGGTGCTTTGTTTTTAAAACTAACCACTACACTGAAGGCATAATAGTTGTATTTGTCTTACCTTTAGGTGTACTCTCAGAGTGATCTCTCTCTGGCCCATCTGGGATGTTTAGCTGTGAGATCTCCTCTGCACTCAGTCTGACCCAGGCGTTGTTGGGGGTTTCCTGATCTTTTGAGGTAAAGGAATATTCCAGCTCACAAGGAGATTCAAAATTGCAGTCAAATACTGGAAAAAGAAAATAGACATAAAACATATCAGGTTAATTAAATTCAGCTTCCTCTGTGCTAGAAGATGCGTATACACACTAATTTTATAGTTTAGTAAGTTAGGGCTTGGTTTTTTCCATAATGAGTTAGAAAGAAATAGAAGAATTCAATAAACAGAAAGGCAAATATGTGCCTGAATGTGCTGCACAGAGAGGTTCATTATGGAGGCAGCAGCCTCAAAAGGAAGGCCCAAGAGCCAGTTATTCCCCTTCAGGACAGCTAAAAGGGCAGCACAGGCTAAAGCAGGGAAAGACATCATCCAGACTGAATGATATCCATTAGTCAATGGATAAAATGGAACATAAAGCCAATGTCTCCTGGAGTGGTGGTTCAAATTCAACCACGACCAGTGTAGTGCAAAGACTACTAACACTCTTCACATTGATGTTTCATCTCAGTGAACACAGGTCTCTACAAAGCAAGTCATATATCCTGGGCATATGGGATGTGCTGGCAGCCATGGGGACTGTACCCACCAGGCAACATTCTGACTCTCTGGATTTGAAACACTTTAGTGAGGCAGCAGAAGCAGCAGAAACCTGACTTGCAGCTGCAAAACTTCAGCCTCCAGGTAGTACAGCCAGCATCTGCCTCCAACATAGACATTTCCTTTTGAGATGTTTCTCTTTCAGAAACCCACTACTCTGCTGGTGCAACTATGATTCACTTCCCAGGGTCCAATTTACACCATAATTCAAGTTGTTTAACACAACATGCAATGATAACCTTAAAGGATTTTACTTTTAATTGTCAAGAACATAAAATTTTCTGGAATTTCCTGTATACATTTGTTTTTATCACCACAGTCAGCACTCAACACAATATTCAGTAAGAAAAAGAAACTATTTCTGAACTAACTCACTGGTTCTGAACAGGTTAGATCTATTTGAAAAAGCTCTTCAAAAAAATCCAGCTGTTCTTTCGAGTTTTCTATACTGTCTACTGTCCTGCCATAGCTATGCAAGTGAAACAAAAAATCTGAATTGACATTAGTGAAATTAACTTTTTTTTTTTAAACTTCAATTACATTCTCTATTAAACATCTAATTCCTTTAGTGGGCACAGATTTATGTAGTTCAGCCTATTCTCCTGGTGATATAATATTTTCTAATCTGAAGGTTAATACCGTTGCCCTCCTGCTACACTTTTCCCAGCTAATTTGCTGTTTTAACAGCAAGCTGGAAGGAACAGTCTTTTTCCAGTTTATATTTGATATTCTTAACCAGGTGCTTTAACATTCACTCAGCATTTTGAATACTTCACAATGCCATGGAAACCATACAATGTAAGAAATCCATATACACTACAAGCAGCAGAAACAAGGATTACACACATTTCCTTAAATTCAAATGCACAAGCCCCTACTCTCTTCAGGCCTCTATGTTATCAATATAAATTTCATGATACATGAAGAACACTTCAATTTGGGCAGCAGGGAACTGTGGATGTATTAATGCTATATAGTTTACTATTGCAATATCATACCCAAACCTCAGACCACTTATTTCTTAAAGTCCCTTAGATGGTCTTTACCAATAAAAAAAAAAGAAAAACAAACCCAAATTTTTTTTTAACCCTATAAAGTATTAGGAGTCTATTAAACTTTGTATCAAAGAGCAACCAAATGCTCAACTACATGTTAGAGAAGATGTATTGTCATTACTGTACAGTTTTGTTACGGGGAACACCTTGAGGAGTATGTGTTTTAGGGCACTGTGAAAAAAAAAAGGTGGAGGGAAGAAACACAGCTCATGCAAGGACTGTTTTGATGGAACCCACAGGATGGTGAAATGGAAAGCCCAAGCCAAGGATGACACGTGGCAAGAACAATCATTTCAAATCAACTACTTCATTCTTTGTGGCCTTCTCTTCCTGATCCTGATTCCCTCATACTTTCTTCAGCTTTCCAGAAGTTGCTGCTTGCTTCCCCTCCTCTCCTGCCCAGCTGCTCGAAACAGAAGCCTGTGTGCTCTCTTACTCTCCTGACCCAAGCAGAGAAGCCCTCCATGGATATCCACAAGGCACTCCTCATTTTCCTCCTCCAGTCCCCCATGACAGTCTGATTGTCAATACTCAATAGCCAGCTCTGCTGCCCCATTCGACTTTCCAGAATTCCATTCTCAGAAGAGAGCTATCAATCAGTTATGGAGCCCTTAACACAGCAGGCCTCTGACCTACAACTGGTACAACTTAATTGGGGTATGTGACTAAATAACAGTCATCACATTCAGTCTTATGATCCCTGCAGACAACTAAAGGCTCTGCCTGAAGAGGGGAAAGTAAAGAAAAAAAAGGCATGTAGCAATACCACCTCCTTCCCTTGCAATGAATAGCTTATAGAGAAGCAGGCATGATCTAACATGCCTGCTGTGGTCAAGCTGAATGTCCTTTACAACAGGTTTTTCCTTGGAAGAGGGGGAGATGATTTGGCTCCTACATCTGACAGTGTCTGCGATTTAATGGAAACATACTTGCATCTTCTACAGAACTCAGTAGTCCCCTCACATCACCAGAATATCAGTACTTTTCTTAGGCTCTTATTTAAATTAGTCCTGTGTAAGACACAAATTTCAGTGCTATTATCCTATTCAGTACAAAGAAATGATGACAAAGAAATGCTATCTGATGCAACACAGCAAACAGCATCCAATCTTCTAAGCCTAACATTAACTTCCTACCCTTAGGCTTTCCTTCTTTCACAATGTCCTTCACTATTGACAATGCAATATACTTTATAAAAAAGGAATTGTATACAATACTTTTTTTTCACTGATAAGCTAGTTCTGATGTGTTAGCTGCTACAAGACCACATAAGCCACACTTGCAAATGCAGAACCTTCATAACATTTGAATTGCTGCCACAAATCACCCGTCAAATTTTACATCTCTGCATAAAAAAATAAAGTGCTTTTCCTTCCTTCTTTACTTTTGTCTTAACATTTAAATGCAAGACCAAGTTTATTCTTGTCTTGCCCAGTTAAGCACAGAAAGTAGAAGCCATGTGTCTTTGGAAGCTGAATGAAAGCCATTCTGCCTTTTACTGAAAAACCAAACACTGCAGGAAGGCAATTAAATCTAACACAACTTTTAGTGATTATTTTTTAAACTTACTAGCAATATAAATTGACTAGATACAGAGCTTTGGGACTTGAATAGTGTGCCTAATCAGTAAAGTGGGATGTTTTTCTTTTTTCTGTGATTTCTGATGTTTTTCTAAAAGTGATGTCACAGAGATTTACACCCAATAAATGCATTTACGCCAGAGCTGTATTAACACTACAGATCCTAAAGGTTCTATATGAATTTAAGTTCCATATAGCAAAAAAATAGCAAAAGCTCTTTTTAAATTTAGAAAAACCCCAACCAACCAACCAAACAACTCGTCGTCCAACAATCTCTTTCATCTGCAACTGCTGGACACAAGAGAGACAGAACAGATAATTTATTAGAGGTCTATTTCACCATTACACTTTTAAAGAAGAAACAAAAGTGATGCTTATAATCAAATTAAGGTAAAAACACGTTTAAGAAAGGCTTAGACATCAATCAGTTTAGCTTCTGGTACATAAAAAGATACAGGATACTAACCATAGAATGAAAAGCAAATTAAGTTACTATTCAATTGAAAAGACACTGGAATCTGTGTATGTCTGATGATGCTTGAGTCTTGTGACTGCTTCAATTTATTTATTTTTAACCCACATACCTAACAGCAATAATTTATGCACAAATAACTAAAATATCTGGCAACCATATCTGTTTCAATTAAACTGATTAGAGTTTTCTAATAAACAAATGACTTAAAATAGTAATATGAATAATAAACCAAAACACAGTAATCTGTGGGAAATATCCTTTTACCTTGCTGCAGGTCAGATTATGGATCATTTGCTCTTTGGGTCATCTTAGATTATTTGTGTAATCACCCATCACTGAAACGTGCCTTATTTAGAACAAAAATAAATTAGTTTAAAGGGATATATAAAAAAACCAGTTCTTGTTGAGAAACTATTTTGATTATTCTTTCTTCAGCTGCCCAAAAAAAGGTTTGGTTTATTTGGTCTAAATCACATCTCCTTTCAACCACAAAGATCTTACCAGCAGGTAATTTCCTCTTAGACTGCTCCTTTCTAGTTCTACATGTGCCTGACTTTAAAAGGTCCTTTCCCCTCCCTTACAAATCACTCCTCCATTACTCTCAGCTGGGCACCCCTTTGGAAAGGTGTGGTTGCCTTCTCACCTCACTGCCACAGACAAGGGAGCAGGCAGAGGTTCTCTGTTCTCAGCAAGATCAGCTTAGAGATGCACATCCTCACTGGCACCTCATCAGCTTAAACATGACTAATTTACACTACATCCACAGACAAATGCACAATGTAAAGGTCACTTACACCTGTCAAATCGGGACCACAACCTCCCTCAAGAACATACCTCTTTCAGCAGCAACAGTCACAGCAGCGGTGTAGAAACAGATAAAATATTCTTGCACAGGATGTCTTTTTTTAATACAAATATTGACAGATATTCCTTGCGGAGGAGACATAATTTAAATTGTATAGTAGAGATCTGCTCTGCTGAGTGAGCTTTGAGACCTCCATCAATACCCACTAACCTCTATTTTACTCGTGTTATAAGGCCTATAAGCTTTTAATTTATGACAGGGAAATGACAAATTGATTTTCCAGTTATTAATCCTAGTGACAGAGCCAGTTCCTAAAGCCTTCCCATTCCCTTTGAGTACAAAAGGGCACAGGCCATTCAATCTAAGGGTTGCAATTGCCTCATCAGGACTTTCTGCATTTCTATTCCCCAACACAGGGTGCACATGCAGGGTGTCACAAAGAAGCCTGCAGCGATAAGTATTTCTCCCCAAGAATAGAACATAAGTAGGAGACTCTGCTCTCTGGCTGTCAGCTCACCAGCCTGCTGAACACCCAGGAGGATCAAGGCCAGGTCCTT